ATTCAAAAGGAGGGAAGGCTCCCAAGCTCATTTTATGAGGCCACCATTACCCTGGTTCAAAAACCAGGTAATTACAGAAAGACATTACAGAAAATTATGAGCCAACATCCCTGATGAACACAGATGCAAACATCTTCCACCAAATATTAGCCAAATTCAGCAATACATTAAAAAGGTCATACATCACGATCAAGTGGGATTTATTCCTGGAATGGAAGGTTGGTTCAATATCCATGAATCAATTAATGTGAGATACACCACATAAACAAAATGAAGGATAAAAATCATATGTTCATATTAATAGATGCAAAAGAAGCGTTTGACAAAATCCAGCATTAATTTATGATAAAAACTCTCAGCAAGGTGGGAATAGGTGGAATACTAAGTATTACAATTAAGTTCGAGAACTGGCCACTGTGCACTTACATTGGCAGCACTGTACAAACAGCTTGGTAAGGTTTCATAACCTTGGTGTATCAGTCTCTCACAGCTGTGTTCGTGTCAATGTGTGGTGGTGTCTTGCTCAGTGGCATTCATTATTGTTGTGTGATTTGTGTGCTGTTGCAAGAATGTCTGAGCTTGAATTAGAGCAACAAACAAACATTAATTTTTTTGTTAAACTTGGCAAGAGTGGAAGTGGAGTCAGAGATATGTTAGTCCTAGTTTATGGGGATAATGCCATGAAGATAATGGCAGTGTACAAAGGGATTAAACGTTTTTCCGAGGGGAGAGAACACATCACTGATGAAGCGGTCAGGGCAGCCAGTAAAAGGAGAACTGACAAAAACATTGCAAAAATTCATTGAATTGTGTGTCAATATCAGTGACTGACTGTGAGAAGCATAGCAAATCAAGTAAACATCAATAGAGAAACAGGAAAATCTTAACTGAAAATCTTGGCATGGGAAAGGTGTGTGCAAAAATGGTCCTGAAGGAGCTCACCAATGAACAAAAGCAAAGGAGAGTTGAAGTTTGCCAAGACCTTTTGGAGAGGCAAGACAATATTTTGAGCCATGTTATCACTGGTGATGAAACTTGGGTGTACCAATATGACCCTGAAACAAAACGTCAAAGTGCACAATAGAAGTCAGCCAGTTCTCCACGACCCAAAAAGTTCCGTCAGCCCAAATCAAGAGTCAACACGATGCTGCTAACCTATTTTGATATCAGAGGGATTATTCATTATGAATTTGTACCAACTGGACAAACAGTTAACCAAGTTTACTATTTGGAAGTGCTGAAAAGGCTGCGTGAAAAAGTTAGACGAAAACGACCTGAACTTTTCACCAATAATTCATGGCTCTTGAATCACGACAATGTACCAGCTCACATGGCACTGTCTGTGAGGGAGTTTTTAGTCAGTAAACAAATAACTGTATTGGAACACCCTCCCTACTCAGATGATCTGGCCCCCAAGAACTTCTTTCTTTACCCGAAGATAAAGGAAATCTTGAAAAGAAGACATTTTGGTGACATTCAGGACATCAAGGGCAATATGATGACAGCTCTGATGGCCATTCCAGAAAGAGTTCCAAAATTACTTTGAACGGTGGACTAGGCTGGTGTCGGTGCATAGCTTCCCAAGGGGATTACTTCAAAGGTGACCGTAGTGATATTCAGCAATGAGTTATATAGCGCTTTTTCTAGGATGAGTTTGTAAACTTAATTGTCAATACCTTGTGTGTGTGTTGTGTGTTTGTGTGTATACAGAGGATGCCAAAAAAATGTATACACATTTTAAGAAAGGAAAAAACTATTAAAATTGTAATACTCAATATATACTGATAACAAAAGATGAGTACAAGTCACGTCTGACATCTGCAATTACAAGAGGTTCTCAAAGTGGTTACCATCGGCGTCCAGACACTTCTGATTATGGTGAACTACTGCTTGAGCAACATTGACCAAAGTGTCCACTTGTATACAAGTACATTTTTTGGCACCCTCAATATATATGTATATGTATATGTATATATATAATGTATATATATATGTGTGTGTGTGTGTGTTTACATATATATATAACTTAGCTATAAAAAAGAATGAAATCTTGCTATTTGTGACAACATGGATGGACCTAGAGGGTTTTATTCTAAGTGAAATAAATCACACAGAGAAAAACAAATAACATATGATTTCAGTATAAATGAACAAACAAAACAGTAACAGACTCATAATACGGAGAGCAAACTGATGGTTGCCAAATGGGAGGGAGTTTGGAGTGCTGGGTGAAAAGGGTGAAAGGATTAAGAAATATGAATTGGAAGTTACAAAATAGTCAATGGCATATAAAGTAAAGCACAGAGAATGTAACCAATAATACGGTAATAACTATGTATAGTGCCAGGTGGGTACTAGACTAAGCAGGTGGATCACCTCGTAAATTAAATAAATGTCTAACCACTATGCTGTACACCTGAAACTAATATAAAATATAATTGAATGTCAACTGTAACTGAAAAAGAAAACCCTTCTGTCCACATACGAGTAGGATTCTCATGTGATCAGCGTCTTCCAATTATCTGCCTTTTTGCCTTCCCAGAATTTCTAACCCCTGATACATTTTTTTTCTATGCTTCAGACTTTATTTGGATTTCACCTGTTTTCCCACTAATGCCCCCTTTTGTTTCAGGGTGTCATGAATGCTGTGACGATTGGACGTGTCATCCTATCACCATGGTCACAGTTTGTTTGTCATACATATGTAGGAGAAGCCTGGTGCAGTACTGTCAATGTGCAAACTTGAGCAAATCAATCCAGCCCCTGTGTACCTAAGGTTGCACTGCTGTAAAAGGAGAAAACACCATGGCGGGGGCAGGGGAATCCAGGAAGATCTTGACATGAAGCCCTAGAAAGTGTTACATGTCTTGGTTTTCCATACAGGTCGTGCACTGGCTTCATCTGCATTATTCACAAGCGAGTCAAGCATCATAAATGTCTTCCTTTTAAAATGTTACAAGGGAATTAAACCCTTTTCCCCCAGAATATACAACTGTGACTTTACGAGAACTCATATAGTGACATGAGAGACATCCTGGGGACTCACTGGTTTTGCTTCCACTTCCCTGATGATGCGAGTGTTGGTCCGAGGGCCACAGTGGTGGAGCATGTAGTCAGGGCCTGGGCACCCTCCAAGCAGGGGTCTCCCCAGATAGAGCACTTAGAGCCTCCAGGGACCCAGTGAGCAATGGGAATCCACTCCTACATCACAGTTTCCATCGTTGCAGCAGGCACATGGATTGTTGATAACACCATGTCGGCCAGTTTGCAGTACTCCCTGCAGGAAGAGGAATACTGAGGAGAGTAGATATCCTGTAAGTGGTAAGAGATGCACGGGGCCCTGGGATTTGTCCCCAAGCAAAGGAGTTGGGCAGTTCTTAACAGGGAAGTCTGGGTGATGCTGAGCCTGGAGCCTCCCATCTCCTGGGACTGAAGACACAGGCCTTTCCTCCATTTGGAGTGTAGGGACAAATGACACACAGAGAGAACAGAAAAAGAGGGTAGTTGTGGAGGGGTGACTGTGAAGGACACAGGACAGGGAAGAGGACAGGGCAGGAGCTTCTCTAAAAATGATCAAGAGCACACATGTGCACCTCCCTCGGGTCTCACTTCTTCTAGGAGAGCTGGCCAGCATGGATGTCCACTCTGGGCTTCTCACAGCCATGTTCCAGTGCACCAGGTGTGGGTCCCCAGGTCCATGCTGTGTCGACTGAGCCCCCTTCCGGGGTCCTTCTTCTTCACTGTGTGCTAAGGACCAAATGTGACCCCTCAATTTCACATTTGAAGCCCTAACCCGCATATGACCTATGCAGGGACCCTCAGCAAACACCAGTCTGCTAGCACCTTCATCTTGGAGTTGCAGCCTCAGGAACTGTGATCAGTAAATGCTGTTTAAGTCCCCAGTCTGGTATTCATTATGGTGGCCCGAGATGACCGAGACCTTGGGACAACCCCTCAAAGAACCAAGGAGAGGCCTTGGATCAGGCGAGGTACAGGGGGCCTGCCCCGGGGAGTTGGCAGGAAGAACGGGGGCAGGTAATGTGGTGGCCCCAGGAGGTCTGCCCCCTCCATTTCCCTATGGCCTTGGCCCAGGACAAGTGTTGTTAGGGTACCAGGCTGCCCAGGGGGACATGTGGGCTTGGACCTAACTGGGAGTTAGAGGAGACTGCCCAGTGGGTGTCCTGGGAGTCTCCTGGGAAGAGGCCAGACTACTTTCCCCAGAGGCCCAGGTCAGAAAGAGGAGGCCCTTCCTGTAGGGGACCAAATTGGAGGGCAGAGACAGGGCAGGACACTTCGGCAATCCTGTATCCCACCTGACCCCAGGGCCTTTCCTGCAGGGTGTCCATGGGCTGACCCCCCTTCTCACCCCCGTCCCAAGCCAGAACCAGGGTTCATGTCCTTGCCTGGCACCCAGCCTAGGTCCTGCTAGCCCTTCACCCTCTTTGTGCCCTCTGCACCGGTGGGGAGACTAAAGTTCTGAGCACAGACTAGAGTCACCCATGTGACCAGTCTCTTAGCTCAGCAAGTTGTCCCCCATGGATGGTCCTGGGTCCCCTCTGGGTGGCCCCCTGGGGTTGGTCCCCGGTCCCCTGGAGGTGGTACTGGCTCCCCTGGGGGTGGTCCTAGGTGCCTTGGGGGTGTGATCTTGGGTCCCCTAGAGGTGGTCCTTGTTCTCCTGGGCTCCTTCCCAGCCCGCACTCCAAGATGCTGGGTCTGAGGAGGGGTTCCGACCAGATGGGGTCCCCGCCCCACCCACCTAATTGCTGGAAGACAGGTTTCCTTCTTCCCCCAGCCACCCTGAGCCTCTGCCCTTTGCCTCCCTGGGGCGGGGGGGGGGGGGGGGGGTGAAACCCAATCAGGGCAGTGACAGCCAGGCTATTTTGGAGCTGGGCTGGGCCGCCTGGCCGGCAGTGGGGGCAGGGTGGGGGCGGGCCCAGCCTTCTCCAGCTGACAGTGTTTGCCTGTCCTCTATCCCTGTCCAGTCTGAGGACTGGCCGGAGTGTGGGCTGCTGGCAGGAGCTGTGTCAGTCCTGGGCCCTCAGAGGGAGGTGAGACCCAGTGGCCCCTGCCCCACCATCTGAACCCCGGGCCTGGGCTCCACCTGGAGTTCCCCTGTAGAGACAGGTGAGGAGGCAGAGTGGGCAGGGGTAGGGGCCATCCCATGTGCTACCCCTCTCTCAGAGTGGCTTGGTTGAAGGTCACAGCTCTGAGGAGACAGAAGGGCCTGGGGTGGGGTTCTAGCCAAGCTGTGCTACTCCCTGTTTGGGGGCCTATATTCCAGCCCCATAGGTGACCTGAGCTAGGCCTTCATGTCCAGTGGGATCAGCCAGGCTGGGAGGCTGGGACCATATGCCCCCCACCGCTTGCTCCAGGATGGCCTGGGGGTCTGGCCAGCCCTGCCCCCAGCTCTGCTGAGATGGATGCCCGCTGACAGCTGGGGCTATTTTGAGCCTGTTGGCTCAGTGGAGGGGACAGCCAGAGGGGCAGTGACACCTGACTCCAGGAAAGAATTTCCCGTGGAGTGTGGGAAGCGGGGCCCAGGGGCCTGGGGGGTGAAGATCCAGGAGCTGCTCTTGGAGTCTTTTCTGGAAGGGCGTGGGGGCAACAGGGTGGGGGGCGGGGTTCTTCTGTCAGGCTGGAACCCTGGCTCATCTGAAAAATGGTCCAGGGCCACGCAGACCCTGAGTGGCCCAGTTCTGAAAAAGAAAGTGGACATGGTGGGGTGTGGGGTGGGAGTGACCCTAGGTGGAGGGAGGGGTCTCAGCCCCTGCGTGAGGCTCCCGCCAGGGCCCATGGGGAAATGCCTCTGAGGGGGTCCACAGGAAGCCTCCTTCCCAAGCGAGCGTCTGACGGGGGTGGTGCTTCCGGGGGGCTGGGGCTGACCTGGTAGGGTCCCCTTCCTGAGGCCTGTTTTTGCCAATGTGGCAAGGGGAAGAGGAGGCCGTTGCAGGTGTCCCTGTGCCCAGAGGTGGCCTTTTATGGTCCCCTCCCCTCAGCCTGAATGAGGGTGGCTCTGGAGTCCTTGGGGACATGCTCAGGGCACCTGACCCTGCTGACCAGCGAGGACGTCTGCCTGATGGGGCTGCTGTGAGGCTCTGAGGCTGTCATGTCTTGGTGAGCTTCCTTGGACCCCATGGGGTCAGCCACATCGAGGGTAAGGATTGCAGGCCATGGCAGGGAGCAGGGCATTGCTATAGTTCCTAGTGGCCTTAGAAGGTCTTGGGGTCCCTGCCCACCCTTGTCAGACCAGTGGGTGGCCTGTACGCCTGCCAAAGGTAGGGGTGGCTCCCCTAAGCACTAGCAGAGATGGGAGCTCCCTCTCTACCCCTGTCCCCCAGAGGCCTGAGCTGTGGAGCTGTGCCCCCCAACATGTTCACTCATGAGCTTGGAGCTGCATCTTGGGCACTCGCTCTGGGTCTACTGGGGACGGGGACGATGTCATGTCCTGCTTTGGGTAACCCACACCCTAACTACATGATTGTGGGGTGCACTGGGAAGAGCTAGGGGCTCAGGGTCCCCAGCAACCTGGTGTCAAAGTAACCATTTCACACAGGGATGCCAAGGCCCAGGGGTTGTTCATGGAGGCAGGGCTCTGATGGTGGCCTGCCCAGATCCTCTCAGGCCCTCTGAGCCTCGTGGAGGGGGGGGGAGGGTTGGCCGGTGGGGGACAGAGGTGCTGACTGCACAGTGAGTCAGCAGGCTCGTCAGGCACAGCCTCCTTGAGGGGGATTAATGGGGATTAGGTCCTGAATCACAACGAAAGACCACCAGAGGACAGCCACTGCTGCTTCTCCTGTGGTGGGCAGCCTGTGCCTGGAGGCCAAAGGCCCAGCTCCTGGAGAGGAGGGAGTTAAGGCATTTGGGGCCAGCCCACCCATTGTGCTCGCTCTTCTTACACAAGCCCCATGTAGGTGGGACCCAGTCTCACCTCACCCACCTGTGCTGGGTCCAGCCGTGGGCCACCCAAGATGGGCAGAGGCCACAGTCACCTGAAGCTTTCAGCACTGATGGTGCTAGCCTTGTCATGCAGGATGCCTAGTCGGTGCAGCCACAGAATGACCAGGCCACCTACAGCCCTCCAGGTTGGGTCCAACTAGCTGGCCTGGCTGTTCTCAGCCTGGAGGACCCTGGCTCTTCCTGGGGGATTCTCTGCTGTCCTCTGCAGGCACACTGCTGACTGTGCAAGCTCAGAAGGGAAGGGACAGCTCTCCCAAGGAGGGACCCGGCAGCCTGGTGGGCTGGGGTCCCTGCATTGTTAGGAGGAGCCTGTCTGGCTGCAGGGTTTCCATCCCTTCCCCACTCACTGACAAGCATAACACCCCAGGAATTGAGGGGATGGGGGACCCCGGAAGAGGTGAGGTGTGCCCTGGCCCAGGGCAACTGCAGGTGGGACAGGCCTGTGTACAGGGTTCCCTGTCAATGGGCGCCACTGGGCAAGGGGGTCTGAGGTGCCCCTGGGGCCCTGAGGCTTGCTGGGGAGTCACCTGGGGGAAGAACGGGCAGGGGAGGTAAAAGGGGAATGCCAGGCAGAGGGCTCTACGAGAGAGCCTGTGACTTCTGGTGTACTACAGATAGAGGAGACAGGCCAGCAGTGAGCACCCAACGTGGGCCTCCCATGGCCAGGCCCTGTTGGGGTGCAGAGAGCTGCCCCTTTGAGTGGAGGAGACATAGGCAGATTGTAGCTTCTGGCTCTAGGAGGCAGAGGTGTGTGGGGGAGGGGAGGGGACAGGACACCTAGGACAGTTTGAGTGGCCTAGTGGGGACATGGCTGTTCTGCTTGGCCAGGTACAGCATGGCTGGTGGGGGAAAGATGCTGGCTCTACGGTGAGATGCTGCACAGGGAGGCGGGCAGCCTGGCTGCTGGTGTGGTATTCTGGGACAGGTGTTCAGCTGGACCCGAGTCCGGGCAGGGGGACTGAAGTTGTGGGGAGAGGGAGGAGATTCTCGCCTGTTAGGACAGCCAGTTTGAGGGTTGAGCCAGACTTCAAATGCCCAAGAAGAGGCAAATCTGCACTTCTGGACCACCGTGCCTCTGCCAAGTTGTCTGGGGGTGGGGAGATGGAGGGTCATGTGCAGTTGTCCACCTGGGTGAAGCTGGGTTTTCCAAGTGGCACTGGATGGGTGAGGTGGACAGGTGGGGCAAAGGTAGCGGGCTCAGAGCACACCAGCAGCTCATCCCCATTATGACCTTCCCCATCCAGCTCGCAGGTCGTTCCCGTCAACCCCATCCCCCCACCATGGATCACTCTTCGTTCAGCGGTGCGCCCCGCTTCCTTACCCGACCTAAGGCTTTTGTGGTGTCGGTAGGCAAGGATGCCACCCTGAGCTGCCAAATCGTAGGCAACCCTACGCCGCAGGTGAGCTGGGAGAAGGACCGGCAGCCGATAGAGGCGGGTGCTCGCTTCCGCCTGGCTCAGGACGGAGACTTGTACCGCCTCACCATCCTGGACCTGGCGCTCGGCGACAGCGGGCAGTACGTGTGCCGCGCGCGAAACGCCATTGGCGAGGCCTTTGCGGCGGTGGGCCTCCAGGTGAACGCAGAGGCCGCTTGCGCCGAGCAGGCGCCCCACTTCTTGCTACGGCCCACGTCCATCCGCGTGCGCGAGGGCGCGGAGGCCACCTTCCGCTGCCGCGTGCGCGGCTCGCCGCCTATGGCGGTGAGCTGGGCAAAGGACGGACGGCGCCTGGGCGCTCCTGACGCCCCCCGAATGAGCGTGGAAGCCAGTGGCGAGGCGAGTGCGCTGCGCATCCAGGCCGCTCGGCCGCACGACGGAGGGACCTACACTGTGCGAGCAGAGAACCCACTGGGCACCGCCAGCGCTGCCGCCGCGCTCACCGTAGACACGGACGTTGACACCGCAGGCCCGCCTGGAGCCTCCACCGCCGTGCTCTTGGCGCACCTGCAGCAGCGGCGCGAGGCCATGAGGGCGGAGGGCGTCCCAGCTTCGCCACCTGGGGCCGGCACGCGCACCTGCACAGTGACTGAGGGCAAGCACGCGCGCCTCAGCTGTTACGTGACGGGTGAGCCTAAGCCCGAGACCGTGTGGAAGAAAGATGGGCAGCTGGTGGCCGAGGGCCGGCGACACGTGGTGTACGAGGACGCGCAGGAGAACTTTGTGCTCAAGATCCTCTTCTGCAAGCAGTCGGACCGCGGACTCTACACCTGCACGGCGTCCAACCTCGTGGGCCAGACGTACAGCTCTGTGCTGGTCGTCGTGCGAGGTGAGCTGGGGCACTGTGCACTTGGGCCACAGTCACCGGGTGAGCGCAGGCCAGGCTCCTCCCCGTGCTCGCGTCCTGTCTGTCCCTTAGCGGATGCGGAGTTGGAGGTCCTTGCAGCTCTCACCTTTCCTGGTCTGCAAAATGCAGGCGGCACGGGATGACCCTCAGCCTGTCCCTTGTCTTTGTGAGTCACACGAGTAAAGAAGAAAGCGCTTTGTCATCAGCACTCCCTCCCCCTGGAAGATGGTTGGGCTGCCCGGTGGCTGAGCCTGCCTTGTCCATGGTGAGGATGACCCAGGCCCTCCCTCTTCCCCAATGCTAAGGTGTTTACCTGGCTAAGAGGGAAGGGAGGTAGGAACGGGGACAAAACCTGAGCCCTCGGAGGCCTCGGGGCCAGAGGCTGCTGTGCAGCCTGAGGTGGCTGTGGGCCAGTTCTCGGGCTCCTGTCCGGGTCAGAGGCTTCCCGGGGCACTGGAGGCAAGTGTGGACAACACGACCAGGTTTTGTTGGGAGGCCAGGTTATTCTTCGCTCCTAACACAGGCCTCTCGATGTGCTGGGAGTCCTGCCTCCACCTTCTTACACATCTCACCCGCTGTAGGATCTCAGACAAGACTCATCAACCTTAGCATGCCTTCCTGTTTCCTCATTATGGCGGGGAGGAGGGGGGAAATGCCTCTCCCCAGGGATCCCTTCAGAAGCTGGTCAGGGAAGATGCCTGAGGCGGCAGGGCCTGGCCAGCAGCCAGCACTCAGAGAGCTTAGCGATTTCGCAGGCAGGTCCTGGTCCTGCTGCCCCGCCATGTGCGTGGGAGGGAGCCCACTCGACCTAGCCCGCCCCGGACCACGGCAGGGCCTGCTCAGCGGGGTGCGGGTTGTGGCTTCACCTGCCTCATTTCTCCTTTTCTCTTCCAGACTTCTTATATTTGGGGGGAAGGGGCTCCTTCCTTTAAGTACTCTTTCCTCTCCTCTGCCCTCTTTCCCTTCCCTCCCTAGTCCTCCTACCCACCCCCTGACCTGCGTGCGCTCCTCCAACTCCTGCCCAGGCCTCCTGCCCCCACTCCAGCCCCCTACTCGGCCCTTAACCTGTCTTGCCCCGCCCCTGATCCTCCCCACTGCTCCTGCCCTGCCCTCTTCCTGGCCCACCACACTCACGCCCCAAGCCCCACCCTGCGGCCCCACTCATTCGCCCCTGCCCCGCCTACCACACTCTGGTTTCCCCACCTGCTTCCCGGCTTCACTCATTCGCCCTCTCCCCGCAGAGCCCACAGTCCCCTTCAAGACGCGGCTGCAGGACCTGGAGGTTCACGAGAAAGGGTCGGCCACATTCCGGTGCGAGGTGCCGCTGCCAGCCACTGAGGCCGCGTGGTACAAGGAAGAGACGCGGCTGTGGGCCAGCGCCAAGTACGCTATAGAGGAGGCAGGCACGGAGCGCCGGCTGACCGTGCACAACGCCTCGGCCGACGACGACGCCGTGTACATCTGCGAGACGGCCGAGGGCAGCCGCACTGTGGCTGAGCTCGCGGTGCGAGGTGGGCAGGCGGGGAACACGAAACTGGCGGGCAGAGTAGGGGCTCTGAGACCCACGAGACTGAGCGGGGCTGAGGGTTAGGGGTGGGGGTGGGGAGTAGTCAGGGGTCCAGTTTGACCAGCTGCTGGCTCTGCCCACCCCAGGCAATCTCACCCGAAAGCTACCGAGGAAGACGGCTGTGCGAGTGGGAGACACTGCCATGTTCTGCGTAGAGCTGGCCAGGCCGGAGGACCAGGTCCGCTGGCTGCGGAACCAAGAGGAGGTGATGGCCGGTGGCCGCATGGCCATCACCACAGAAGGCACGTGCCACACACTGACCATCTCCCAGTGCAGCCTGGAGGACATGGGCGAGGTGGCTTTCATGGCTGGGGACTGCAGGACGTCTACCCAGTTCTTAGTGTTGGGTAAGGGCTTGGGGAGTACCCCTTGCTGCAAGAGGGCCAGCACTGGGTCCACCTGAGCTCAGCAGCTGCAGGGAGGTTGTGGGAGTGGGCTGCCCAGGCTGCAGCTCTGGGTCCCTCAGACCCTGAATTGTTTGCAGCCCTCCTTCACTATGGTCACCCCAAGCATTGGCAAAGTGGGAGTCTTGGTGGCCCCACACCCCACCAACCAAATTAGAAGGTGCAGATTGTTCTAGAAGCACTGTGTGTGTGTGGGGGGAGGGAGTGCATGGGGGCGGGGGGGGCATCTTGTGTGAGCATACCTTCTTTCTGTGGCCTTCGGTGTCTACATTGTAGATTGGGTGCGGTTCCCTACCTTGCCCGCCCCCAAAGGGCCAGCTCTTGGCTGGGGAACAGGGATGCCTCTGCACACTGGCCCTCGCACTCTTGGGAGGGTCACTGTGACCTGCCTCAGCCAGTGACCAGACCAAGAACCCAGTGTGCAGATGGAGTCAAGGCAGAGAACTGGAAGGTGTCTGTTTCCAGGCCACATGGACAGATCACGGTGGCCCTGGGCCAAGTGTGGCTACCAAAGCCAGGGCACCCTTTCTGCTGCAACTAGAGAAATGACCACAGGATGGGGCCAGGGGTCATGGCTGGTCTCCCCGCGTTCCCCCACACCCCATGTGGCCATCTCAGACCATCAGAGCATTGATTCTGTGATCCCCTCCTCCAGAGCAGTCCTGGACCTGGGGCTCAGGGAGGGGCCCCCAATCAGTGACATGGGCCTGTGCTCTGCCTAGTCCCCAGGAAGCCGCCCCTGCATTCCCCTGAGGCCCCTGTGGTGAAGGCCAGGACGGAGAGCTCTGTGACCCTTGGCTGGTCCCCTCCACCCCATGGGGACTGCCCTGTTGCCATCGATGGCTACCTGGTGGAGAAGAAGCGACTGGGCACCTATACCTGGAGCCGGTGCCATGAGGCCAAGTGGGTGGCCACACCGGAGCTGACTGTGGCTGGCGTGACCGAGGAGGGAGACTTTCAGTTCCGGGTCTCAGCTGTGAACAGCTTTGGCCAGAGCCATTACCTTGAGTTTCCGGGGACCGTCCACCTGGGTAAGTGTGGAAGGTTCTGTTTCCCATGGCTTCCAGATAATGGTCTGTGGGGCACCCACTGCTGAGTCTCCCAGACCTAGAGCATAGCCCAGCCTTGGCGAGGCCACAGTGACTCATGGAGCCTCTTTATTGGGGAGTCCTGATGTTGTTGGAGCCTACTCTGTAGGAAGGGGAAGGGACCCTGAGACAGGACTTGAGCTCCTTAGGAACTTATCTGTGTCCACCAGCCCCAGGGGACCAGACTGCACAGTCCCCCCTGCCCCCAAGTTTCTGGGATCTGGAGGGGATCTTGGGTGGCTCTAACTTGTCCCCACTCAGTCCTGAGCCCTGTGTTCTCTCTTGGTTGCTGTGCACCTGTCTGATGGGCTTCCTGGAGGAGGGGGCAGTTGATCCCAGGCTCTGGGGAAGGAGGAGGAGGGGATGGCAGGGACCCTGCTCCTTCCTGAAGCCCCCACCCTGCAGTCCCCCAGCTGGCTGTGAAGACACCTCTGAAGGCGGTAGAGGCAGTGGAGGGCCGTGAGGTGACCTTCTCTGTGGACCTCACTTCGGCCTCGGCTGGTGAGTGGTTCCTGGACGGGCAGGCTTTGAAGGCCAGCAGTGTGTATGTGATCCGCTGCGACGGCACCCGACACACTGTCACCATCTGCTCGGTGCCCGCCAGTCTGCATGGAGCTGAGCTCAAGTTCGTGGCCAATGGTATCGAGAGCAGCATCCACATGGAGGTCCGAGGTAGGGGGACCCTGGACCTCTTTGAAATCTGTGTCCTCTGGGGGTGGGAGCAGGAGGATGGTGGTCCCCAGGCCTCAGGGCTCCTGGAGAGTGCAGGCGGGCTGCTGGGTGTGTGGCCTGAATGAGTGGGGCCCCATGGTGGGGTGTGGTGTGAGAGGCAGCTTGCCCAGCCTGGCAGGTAGCCCCAGCCACAGGGTTTGAGTAGATGAGGGGCTGGGGTCCCCGATGACGCAGGACCTCATGTCTCCATCTGTCCCACCCCTTTTCCCCCTCTTCCCTCCTCTTCTCTGATTCCTTCTCCTGCTCAACATCTTGTCCTGTCTCTTGCTTCCTTGCCTCTCTGTGTCTCCCCAACCCCATATCCGGCTTGTACTCTCTGTCCATTTCTCTAACCACTCTCCTCTGTCTCCTCCCGCTCCGTCCCCTTTCTTCTCTGTTCACTCTCACTCTGTCTGCTTCCCATCTGTCCCTTCCACCATCTGTCCCCTTCCCTTTCTGTCTACTATATCCACTTCCTCCTTTCCCTCTATCCACAACTCCTCCATCCATGCCTTCTCTCTCCACCTGCTGGGGCCTCCAGCGGCCCCAGGGCTGACCAGCAAGCATCCAGTGGCAGTGCAGGAGGTGCTGGCCCGGCTGCATGAGGAAGCACAGCTCCTGGCTGAGTTATCGGACCAGGCTGCTGCTGTGACATGGCTCAAGGATGGCCAAGCACTACCCCCAGGCCCCAAGTACGAGGTGCAGGCTTCAGCAGGGCAGCAGGCACTGCTGGTGCGGGATGTGGCGCGAGATGATGCTGGCCTGTATGAATGCATCAGCCGTGGGGACCGCATTGCCTACCAGCTGTTGGTGCAAGGTGTGTGTATGTCCATGTGTGTCTACATCCTCCTGGCCATTGCCACAGCCACAGCCACAGCCTTGTGTTCTGTACTCATCTAGGGGGTCTGCGCCCAGGAGCTGATGTTCTCTGTGGGGGGTTAGTGTGGGGAGCAGGCCCAGGTGACCCTGTGGGGACTGTGGCTCAGGTCACTCCTGTCAGGAGTGGGGGAGATTGTAGGTTCAGGTGACCCCATAGTGGGCTCAGCGTAACCTGTGGGGTTCAGCATAACCTGTGGGAAATGTGGTAGTGGGGGCTCTGCTTAGTAGGGGGCGGGACCCTGGGAGGAGGTTTTATGAATTGGTGGCATTGGGTGCTTGGAAGTCAGCAGCCAGCCTTGTTCGAAGGGGTCCCTAGTCTGGACTGGGCCAGGGTACGGCATGGTCCCGGACTCTCTGAGTGCCTCTGTCCATTAGTGCATCGGTGTGCTCGCTGGGCTCTCCTAGCCCCCTGACTCTTGCTGCCTTTGTAGGGCTCACACCTTTTCTGCACAAGGACTCGGTGGGTGGCTGTGTGGACGTGGCAGCTGGGGAGCCAGCCCACTTTGAGTGCGAGACTGCGGAGGCCCACGTACACGTGCGCTGGTTTAAGGATGGTGCAGAGCTCAGCCGCTCCTGCTCACGCTTCTCACAGGAGGATGTGGGCACGCGGCACCTGCTTGTGGCCACCTCAGTCACCAGGCAAGATGAGGGGACCTACTCATGCCGCGTGGGCGAACATTCTGTAGATTTCCAGCTGCGAGTCTGCGGTAAGCACACACCTCCTGGGCTTGGTGGGTGGGAAGCAGGTATAGTTGCATCTGGCACTTGCAAGGTGGAGCTGCCTGGCCCGTCATTTCTTCAGTAAATGGTAGGGGTGGGGCAGTTGTTTCGATTTGTGAAAAGAAATTATCCACAAAACTAACATTGAGATGGACGAGGAATGCAAGACGAGAAGGAAATTCAAAGTCTTTGTTCTTTTTATCAAGATGAAATGAGGCTGAGAGGACCCAAAAGGTGCTGGAATTGTCCTCCGCAGGATAGATTTAGATTTCAGTAAATCTGAGGTCCTGGCTCTTTCTAGAAGCCATTGGGGCCTCCTAATGCATTCTCTTGAGTCCTGCTCTGCCCTATCCTGGCCCCCAGGAGGGTCTCTGCCACCCCCCTACTCTTCCCTCTGTCCCCATGCATGGGTCAGGCCTGGGAGAGCTGTGCTGCTGCAGTTGACTATGAAAGACCCGTAGGGAACCCATGGTTACCTGGGGTCTGAGCCTCTCTCATGGCTCCGGAGTTCACCTCTGTGGGGCCTCTGACTGTGCGTTCCTGCCTGTCCCCAGAGCCCACGGTGGTGTTTGCCAAGGAGCAGCAGGCACGCAGTGAGGTGCAGGCCGAGGCGGGGGCCAGTGCCACGCTGAGCTGCGAGGTGGGCCAGGCCCAGACGGAGGTGACGTGGTACAAGGACGGCAAGAAGCTGAGTGGGAGCTCGAAAGTGCGCGTGGAGGCCAAGGGCTGCACCCGGCGTCTGGTGCTGCAGCAGGCGGGGAAGGCGGACAGCGGGGAGTACAGCTGTGAGGCCGGGGGCCAGAGGGTCTCCTTCCGCCTGGATGTCACAGGTCAGTTGACAAAGCAGACATTTGACCACTCTGGGAACAGGCCTAGAGGAAGTGTCTCAGTGTGGGCAAGGGCAGGAGAAAGCACTCAGTAGCTTCATCTGGGCTCTTTCAATCAGTTTTCTAGTGCCAAGTAGCAAACACCCCCTAAACGTAGAAGCCCAAAAGAACAATTGGTTACTGTCATGATTCCGTGGGTCAGGGCTCAGTGGGGATCGTTCATTTCTGCTCACATGGTTTCGACTAGGACAGGAGGAGGCAGTCTGGCCTCATTCATGCATCTGATGCCCCATTAGGATGGCACCCGTGGGTAGGGCTGGCTGGGGTGACAGGGCTCTCTCTTCTGCGATGTTGGCTGGGCTCACTCCTATGTCTGAGACCCCTTGTGACATCTCACCCACAGGGCTCTTTCTCCATGTGGACAGCCGGGGCTCCTTCACGTGGTGGCTGGCTTCCCCCGAGGGAATAGTAGATGCTACAGGGCTGGATAATGTCTGTTTTCAGCTGTTCCAGAATGTTACGGTCTCTGTGTCCTGTTGCAAAAAGCTAGGAGTATGGCCAGCCTGATTCCAATGGGGTGGAGAAGTAGACCCTAGTGGCTCATCTGGGACCTCTTCCAACAGGAACATCACAGGGACTCAGGCTTTGTCTTTTTCTAATTCTCTGCCATCCTGAGCATGTTACCTTTTTTTTCCCTAATGCTTATCACCTCATGATCACAAAATGGCTTTCACAGCTCCAGCCGTCACTTTCAAGACAGGAAGAACGTGAAAGGGATGTTTATTTTTTAATTTTTTGTTTTTGTTTTTACTGCTGTGCAACAAATTATCATGAACTCAATGGCTTAAAACAATGCCTGTTGATTGGCTCACAATTCTGTAGGTCAGAAGTCCAGGTATGGTGTGGCTGGGCTCTCTGCCCAGGGTCTTAAAGGCTGGAATCCACGTGCCACGGGTTGAGTTCTCTGGGGCTCCTCTTCTAAGCCCATCCAAGTTGTTGGCAGAATTCCTTTCCTGTGGTTCCAGATCTGAGGCTGTTTTCTGGCTGGCTGGCAGCTGGGGGCCGCTCCTGGCCCTTTGCACATGGGTCTTCCGTCTTCAGACCAGCCATGGAGAATCCCCCTTATGTCCAATCACTCTCGTGCTTTGAATCTTTGGCCAGGAAGAGCCCCTCCCTTCCAGGGTTCACCAGTTTAGGTCAGGCCCATCCAGGACCATCTCCCTTTTGATGAGCTAAGACTCAGTTTACCTGGGACCTAAATTCCTTCTGCATAATCCATTTACAGCAGCGCCTGGATTAGCATTTGGTGGAATAGCTGGGGGAAGCTGTGTACACTTTGTGGGGCAGGGGTTTTGGGGCATTCCTGCCTAACACAGAGCATTGCAGCTGTTTCTTTTCTTTGGAAGACAGACACTCTCCTAGGAGCCTGAAGCAGGTTCCCCCTTACCCCTCCTGGCTGGTGTGCGTCCCACGGCCACACCCTGCTCCAGGCAGTTTGTGAAGGTTGAGCCCCTGGCCTTCCTGCCTCTGCAGTAGGACTTTGAGGATGGAGGAGGTGGGTGTGCTGAGGGTGCTGTGCTGTGGGCCAGTCCACGCCCACACCAGAGTGGCTGTGCCCTGATTTTGACGCCCTCTTCGAGGCTGGCTGTGGAGGAGTCAGAGTGTGGACAGGGTCAGACCTCATTTATGCCTCTTAACATCTGGGTGATCTTGGGCAAGTTGTTAATGTCATGTCTCCCCGAAATTCACACCCACTTGGAACCTCAGATTGTGGCTGTATGTGGAAAGGGGGTCTCTGCAGATGTCATAAGTTAAGGATCTCCAGATGAACTGATGCTGGATTAGGTGGGCCCTGAATCCAATGACAGGGGTCTTTATAGATAAAGGAAGGGGAGCTTTGACACACAGACACAGGCAGAGATGGGCTGATGTGGCCACAAGCCCAGGGACACCTGAAGCACCAGCAGCTGGAAGGGGCAGAGAGAACGCCTTTGTGACACCTTGATCTTGGACTTTTAGCTTCCAGAACCGGGAAAGGAAAAATACCTATTTTTTAAAGCCCGTTTGTGAACATTTGTTACGGCCACCCTGGACCTCTTATTATAGCCCTCTGTGCCTCAGTTTCCTCATCTGTGAAGTGGGTGGTAATAGAACTCCTAGGGCTGTGCTGAGCGGACTGCCCCATCAGCTTGTCCCTGCCATGTGCAACGGCGTGGGCCACCCCCTGCAAGGCACGTTGTGGCGGTTGGACTGGGGTTCTCGGGACGAGGTAGGCAGGCAAGGAGACTGAGCTTGCGAATGGGGCAGAGGCCCAGGCAGCAGGGTCCTCGTATCTGGTCCCGGAGGATGAACCCAAGAGTGTGGAAGGCGACACTCCAGGGAGTGTGTGTGCGTCAGGGTGTCTGGAAAGTTCTGAATGTCAGCGGTTGGCAGTGTGTGAGGGTCGTGCAAGAGGCTGAGCAGGAACCCGTGCCAGGTTGTTAAGGCCAACTTCTCAAACTGAGGTTTGTCCTTAGTGACACTCTACTCAAAACCAGGGCACACTGGCTTGTATTTTCACAGGCCTATGCAGTTTTGTCACTTTTATACAGACGAGAGGTGATGCTCTTCCACCTGGGCCATAGGGTTCTGTGTGGCTGCGCAGTGAGGGCTGAGTCCTGCAAGCCACCAAGGTTTCACCCCAAACTGGTGGTCTTTACATAGAGCTTTCTGTTGGTTATCTTCTTGAAAAATTTTAAGATGCCTCTCTAAGCCTTCGTTAACAATTTATGCAGTTTGCATTGGAGAAGCTAATTTTGTTTTCCTTTGATGTACATGAAATTGACATACTACTGTTAAGATAATAGCCATCCACTCTCATTCCACTGGGGGCCTGCCACCCACTTTGGACACTCGGGCCGATGTCTCCTGCCTGAGGAAGAGGAGTAGGAAGAGGAGTCCTTGGTGACAAAGTGAAGCCCAAACCGCTAGTTTCCAGTGAGTGAATTTGATGTATAACATGACAGGGATTCTCATGTGCCATTAATGGCACTTCCTACCTTTTTTTGTCCTGAAGATATTTTTACTTAAGAACATGCAATTGGTTGTGCTCCACCCACTTGCCTTAGGCAGGTCTTTGTTAACATAGAAGTGCTAGAATGTTTGGGTATTTCATTATTTCACCATCACGCTGCATTTTAGTTAAAAAAAAAAAAGACACCTGTAATGCGTGATGAAAAGCAGCCAGTGTGATGGGTCAGCTTTTAAAGCAGTAGATTCATCTCTCCGTGTCGCTTCACAGTCAGCAACAAAGGGGAGCTTGGACTGGTGGTGTTGAGTGTGCCCACACCCATGAGGGGTGACTTTTAGTCCATGTCCGTCCAGCGATTGTGTTTTTTTGAATGACTAATTCAATTTTACAGTGTGCATTTCCAAGATTTTTGGTATATTCACAAGGCGGTACAACCACAACACAGTCTAATTCTTGAACATTTTCATGACCCTAAAAAGAAACCCTGAACTCAATAGCAGTCACTCCCATTCTCCCCTTCCCAGCCCCTGGCAACCACTAATCCATTTTTGGCCTCTGTGGATTGGCCTGCTTTCATTTAAATAGAATCATGTGATATGTGGCTATTTGTGTCTGGCTGTTTCTACTCTGCATAATAATTTCACGGTTCATTCACGCATAGTATATGTCAGTATTTCATTCCTTTATGTGGCCAAATAATATTCCATTATATGTATAGACCATATTTTGTCTATTCTTTCATCAACTAGTAGACAGTTGAGTTGTCCCACTTTTAAAAACTTAGTTTAGGGGCCGGCCGAGTGGCTCAGTTGGTTAACAGCATGAGCTCTGAGCAACAGGGTCGCCAGTTTGATTCCCACCAGTGAGATGCGCCCAAGCTGAGCTGCCGCTGAGCTGCCAACACGTGGCAGGATGGCTCAGCTGGTGAGAGCATGTGCTCCTAACAAAGTTGCTGGTTCGACTCCTGCATGGGATAGAGGGCTACGCCCCTCCCCCCCCCCCCCCAACTAGACTGAAAGTGGCAACTGGACTTAGAGTTGAGCTTGTGCCCTCCACAACTAAGATTAAAGGACAACAACTTGACTTGGAAAAACACAATGTTCTCCTTGCCCAATTCTCCAACACTGTTCCCCTCCCCAAGTCCCCAATTAAAAAAAAAATCTAAAAAATCCCGAAAAACTTAGTTTAGTGTTTATTTACAATATAGTAATTTGATATTTTTATACTTGACAGTGTAATTGTCCCACTAGTTCCAGTCACCATACAAACTTATTACAATATTATTGACTATATTCTCCTTCACTTTTTTTTTTAAAGATTTTATTGAATCAGGGAAGGGGAACAGACAAGTTGCTGTCCTTTTGTTCTTCAATCTAGTTGTGGAGGATGTCGCTTCACCGGCCCATGTTGGTATTATCATTGAGCTTTTCCTGGGTGAGGCAGTCGCTCGCCAGCCATTGGACGGCCGCTCACAGAGGCTCACAGCAGTTCACAAAAGCTCACGCCCCACTGCTGGCCAGCCCCACTGCAGCCCACACCATCACCGGTGACTCACGAAAGCCCAGCTCCACGTCGAGCTGTTGTTCACCATCTTAGCTGTAAAGGGCACAGCGTCACTGGCCCTCATGTGGGATCCGAACCAGGGCCCTGCTGCTCAGAGCTGGCATCCCAAGCCAACTCTTAACCAGGGCGCCACTCGGCTGGCCCTCCCCTTCACTTTTATCACCCGTCGCCCACGCCCTCCCTTCTGGTAACCATCCCTTTGGTCTCTGTTTCCATGAGTCTGTTTTTGTTTTATTTTGTTTGTTTGTTTTATTCTTTAGATTCCACATATGAATGAGACCATATGGTATTTGTATTTTTCTGCCTGATTTATTTCACTTACATAATAACGTCTAGATCCTTCCATGTTGTCGTAAATGGTAAGATTTCATTCGTTTTTATGGCCGAGTAATAGTCCATTGTGTATATGTACCATCTCTTCTTTATCCAG